GCCTGACGAACTAGCCAGCTCGGATATGCCGTCTACCCGGGACAAACAAACATCAAGCGCGTCAAGCGTGTCACACATACAGAGGCCAGCATGCGACCCAGCCTCCGTTGTTTGAAAGCTATCCATCCGTATCGCAGACTTTACATTCAAGACTGGACAACGTACGGATGAAATATGAATAAGCAACGTGGTGGTGGATGGGCAAAAAGGGCTGAACACAGTTGCCAAAAAGACAAGGCATCCTACCGACGGGGGCCGGTCGCGGATGCTCTTGCTCGTTTTAGATAGTTCAAATTCAAAAGAGAAGATAGACATCCATGGGGTGAGATGCTCGACCATCGTCGTGAACCCGACTGTCATCATCATCGTTAACATGACTGTCGTCGTGAACCCGACTGTCGTCGTGAACCCGACTGTCGTCGTGAACCCGACTGTCGTCGTGAACCCGACTGTTGTCGTCGTCAAAATAACCGTCGTCGTGGATGGCTTGGTGTTCTTTGTCTTTAGCCTTACGTCGCTGGTCGTCCAGTGCGTCCTTGAGGTGGGCTGGACGCTGCCAAGGGTGGGTCCACCCAGGCCGTCGGTTCCCGGGAGGATGATTAACTCCAGGTGGATGATTAGCTCCAGGAGGATGACTGCTTCCAGGGGGATGACCAACTCCAGGTTGGTAGCCCACACCAGGCTTGAGACCGGTCCCGGGCTGATGACCGGTCCCCGGTTGATGACCGGTCCCAGGCGGGTAGTTGCCGGGCCGTTGTCCAGGGTACGGGTGCCGCGGAGTGATATCCGGTTCATGATCTTTGAATACCGGAGGTACTAGATGCGTTTTTCGCAAGTATGGCAAGTGGTATGGGTACGAAGGTACTAGCTCCAGCCGGAACAAGTGCCTCAGCAGTACGTTTAAAGGCAAAAGGAGCTGCAGCGGCACTTCGTGGTAGTGAGTCATCGAGTTCAGGGAGCTCTGGCTGGTCGCGTTTGTCACAGCCTTCATCAGGGGCTCGATCTCTGCGTCGAGCTTGTCATAGTCGACACCCGGGCAGTACTGCCCATGGTCGACGGGTGCAGCCACCTCGCCCAGCTGCTGCTCATCAACTTCTCCAAGCTCTGCCCCAAACATTCTTCCGCCTTGTAGCCTCGGGAAAATATCTGGCAGCTCTAAACTGGGATCAGCCAACTCTTCAAACGGTGGCAGGGCTAGTAACCAATCGAGATCGCTTTCAGATTCAGTGCCGGCTGCAGGCAACAATAAGACCAGGGCGCGAATCCACCACATGTGTCCCAAACTCCGCCGCAGAAAATCCCGGAATGATCTGGTACCTTATAACACTGCTCCTTTACCTTGGATTAATATTCGTGATCTACCCTGCATTTGACCCACCGAAGCGTCGGCTCTCGATCAACCCCCAAGTTTCACGGGCGCGCAAGAACGTCGTCTTAATTTACTTGCCCAAATGACTGTTGCATACGCGCGCGCGTATGTGCGACAGTCGTGTGTGCAGCACACGTGCGTTGCATACGCGCGCACATATGGACACACACGCACGTTTTGGAACACGGATGGATGTCTCGAATCTCGAAGGTCAATGAATTACTGAACCAAGACCCTTCACAAAAACTCCGTACATGACGCTAACCGGCTTGGCGGCACATATTCATCCCGCTCGCTCATTAAAGGAAGGGTCGAAAGGAATATGTCCTCTTGGTCTCGCTTGTTTCAATTCGGAGGCCAGGTTATGACATCTCTGTGCCATATCTTGAATGCCACGGAGAAGATTAGAATCAGCAACAGGTAATCCTTCTGGCAATTGTTTGAATGCAAGTCTGGTGATATCCTTAGAGAGTTGTCGAGCAAGATTAGCGTTCTCTTCAGTATCCACACCCTCATCAATCTTGTTGATAACCTTGCGGATACTGGCGACCACTCGTTCAATCTATGGTTAATGATATATGAACGAGTAGGAGGTATGTAGGGTAGGAGGTATGTAGGGTAGGATGTATGTAGGGTAGGAGGTATGTAGGGTAGGAGGTATGTAGGGTAGGAGGTATGTAGGGTAGGAGGTATGTAGGGTAGGAGGTATGTAGGGTAGGAGGTATGTAGGGTAGGAGGTATGTAGGGTAGGAGGTATGTAGGGTAGGAGGTATGT